AGTTCCCAAACACTGGAATCACAGGAGGCCAAGAGAAGACGTCGACGGGCTTCGCATAATATGGTGGAGCGTCGGAGACGTGATAACATCAATGAACGGATACAGGACCTTTCCCACCTCGTCCCTCAACACCGTTTGGAAGATGACAAGATTCGAAAGCAACTTGTCAACAACTCAGCACTGGCTACTTCCACTGGCGGATCTGGCTTGAGTCCCACAAATGCTGCAACGTCGCTGCTTGCTGGAGGAAGTGGTCGCCGAGCTACGCCAGGTAATATCACTATGGGTCTTCCCATCGAAGAAAAGGAGAAGGGCCCCAACAAAGGCGACATTTTAAATGGTGCTGTTGGCTGGACGAGAGATCTAATGTGGGCAATGCACGTCAAACTACAACAAGAAGATGAGCTAGCCGAGTTGATTACATCGCTTGGCGGTACCTGGCCATTTGAGCAGACTGAAGAGGAGAAGCGTATGCGCACAGAGCTGATTGATGCCATGGAGAAGAACGATCCGAATACCTTCTTCTACAGTCGAGCTCCAGGAAGTGGTCTCCGCGTCCCCAAACACACCAACATTGCCGGAGAGGCCCTTCCGCAACAGAATCAAACCGATACCTTGAGTCCGCAGAGCCTTAGTCCCGGCTTCCACAGTGGCGGGAGCGGAAACAATAGTGGTGGAACCCAACCACAGTACTGGAATAGCTCTGGTCATGCTGGAATGAGTTTCAAAGAGGAAGACGAATACTCTATGGAAATGAATTAGGACATTTGACATGCGCGATTGTTACCTTTTTGCCTTGATTCAATTAACTCTCTCTTTCGATCAATTGCGTCGCTGGCGTTTTCCCATGGATGGATGGGAGAAGTCTTCGGGCTGTGGGGCGTTTTACGGACGGACCCGGTAGCATCTGAGGCGGTTTTGTTTTTCTTTAATCATCTTTTGCATGTCGCTTAAATCTATAATTCTCGCTATTGCTTTTTCTATTTTTTCTTTTTTTCATTTTTCATTTCAATTTTTTGTCGATTTATATGCACATTCTTTGATTCATGTTAATATCTCTATTTTAGTTCTTATCCCCTTGCATTTCAGAGTTCTTATTTACATTATTTCTCAGCTGTATATCATATTTCTAATATGGGCGGATGTGGTGTCGATTTCTCATCGGTTTTCTCTGTTGTGTCTATTCTTTTCTCGCCACCCTCCTCCGCTTTCGCGATATACTGTTTTGTTTCACAAGGCAAAGACTCATTTCATGTTTCTAATGCGTCTTGCCTTGGTCCTTTACAACTTCGCCCGTGCACCGTTTCCCTGTTTTGCCTGCGTGGTATTTTACAGGCCATCGATACCCCCTTTTTTATATTTTATTCAGTTTTTTTGTCTGTGCTGGTTTCCCTTTTAAAGATATATTAACATCTTTCTATGATTATATCTTTTCCTTCTTCAGCCCTGTCGGGTCTACCTACAGGTCGACTTGCTTTATCTGTTTGGTTGATGGTACTCTGGTTTCTCTAGTTTCTATCCAGTGGGTTTTTGTTGGGGGGGGTGGGGTGGTTGCATCCCGTTTGGATGAATTCCCTACTTTACTGTTTAATAATTTGCATTTGCATCCTTAAGTTTGTTTTAATCTTACAGGTTAATCCATACCTTCCTCTCCATATTTAGCGTTTAATATATAATACATATATACCTTATTTCTTAATCCTACCGTGTTTCGCTTCGAATCTAACTTAAGATTATGTCTTGTTCGATGTAAAAATTGATAAGGAAGCTCCCACTCGCCCTAATTCGTATCGACAGATCTATCTACTGGGTTCTTATCAAAAAGTAAGGTTGAACTATCTACATTCACTCATACCGGGGTCTGCATCCCATATTTGCTTCACACAAGGTAAACAATGTACATCATGGCGGGCAGGCGGGTTGAAGCAGCCTTGCTCCCAGGCATGTTTCGGTGGTTTTCGCCCACTCAATGGGCAGACCCAAGGTCGATCGCTTTTGGCCGTTCTAGATTCGATACGGCACCCGAGCCGACCGAACCGCGTCCTTAATGGATCCAACAGGTCAACCATTCTCTAGCGTAATTTTTCTTTAATCGAGAACGGATTACAAGGTTTCCCATGAATAATGGTTTGGGTTGGGGTTCTGTTTTTTTGCCCTGCCTAAATTCCCCGTATCGAATCAAGTTTGTGCGGTGTAGTTTACTGTATGGAACGGTATGTGTTTACAATACATACCGGTACAGTGTATTCTTTTTTCTTTTTTGTTTTTTCTTCTTTTTTTTTTTTTTTTTTTTTTTTTTTTTTTTTTTTGGTGATGAAATTCCGCAGACATTTTTTGATCTACTTGGATTGGGTTGTTTCATGTTGATTCTTGTTCTCTGTTTCTTCACTTTTGCCCTCTCTCTAAGGAGTATATCTGGAATTAACATGTGCTGGTGCATTGGGAAAACTGAGAACATTATTCATTCTTTCGCTCTTTAGCATAATATGGAATCATCGAATACCACAAAGAAAAAGATTCTAAATTGGGCCATTGTTGTGGAACACACTTGAAACAGAGTTCGCCCGAAGACCGTTGATGAAGGGCGATTCAGGCTTGAATTGCTTCTTCGATTGAGGAGAGTAGGACTTTTTGGTCGGCTACCTGCCTGCTTATTTCAAAAAATCATGAACTGAGAGCTGAAATCAATGAACCAATCAACCAGTCAACCGTATTTGGCAATTTACTATCCCGCATCCTTGCTTCGCAATCCATGGGGGCGCCATGTGCAGTGGCTGGTTCATTACATACATCCAATGGATTTTACGTCTAATATGTCAGTGATTGAGGACAAGGATAAACCTCTTCTTTCCCCTTCTGTTCGTGGAGGTGTCCCAACGCTGCGAACGGCGTGAGCTTGAGGTGGCGATATCCACTAATAGATATCTGTTGCGTACATACCTTAATCCTCTGTACTTACGTATGCATCAGGAAGGAGATTGAAATGTGGAGAGGTTTGGGATTTATGTGAGATGATTAAGTGGTTGTTAGGTGGGGGTTGAAATCGGAGACATTGCAGGAGTGACGTCATAGATTCTTTGCGTGGCGGGAAGAGGAGGGGTTGAGCTCGTTTCGGGCAATTTGGATGGTATTGTTTAGCGGTGGGGGATTTTGATACATTCATTCCCTTTTTTAAAAGTGGATGAACGGTGAGAGGGAGGACCCTCTGATGATTGATTTGAATCATCGGTGCTTTAATTTGGAAAGGCTTGGAAGGCTTTGGCACCACTCATGAAATGCGTTTTGCCTGTCTATCTTGGGGCATTTGTCCCTTAGCCAGGTCTGAATGCTGAACGCTTTTCAATTAGCCTCTATTTTCATTGTTTTATCCCATGTTGATTGCCTTGCGGAGAGTAGATTTTATTCCAGCGAGGCACGCCTTCCGAGCTGCGGGATGAATTGATATGCAGTTTATACTCATTTATGTTGCCATTTCAACCCAAATGTCAAGCGTCGATTTGAAGTTAAGGTCATAGGCAGTCCGAGTAATTGTAAGTTTAGCGAACAGGAACTTGTACACAGGGAATTTGGATTTTATAGTTCCACTTTTTGTATCATCCTTAGATGGAGCGGAAACATATCTCAAAACAACTGCACTTTTAGACGACATAGAAATACATTGAGAATATATGGCATGCCATGTTACATTGTAGCAACCAACAACCAACAACGGCATATTAAGGTTTCTTGCGAAAAGTGGTGGTGATATGGCGTGTTTGCCATTAGCTTTTAAAGCATGAGCGCGCTAAGATATCCCCAATGATGCATGTGAAAAACCAGGGGGCGGGGCGAGGGTTGTGAATGCGGGGAATGTGGATACGTGGGAGTGTTCCGCTTTCGGACCCAGTATTTCTATTCTAATTTGCTTTGTCCATGTACTTACGCGGGTGGGCGCGGCTGGTTGGGGTAAGTGCCGTGTATATATATCATACCCGGCTTTATGTAGGGAGGGTTAGAGCACGTTAGGGTTCAGGTGGTGGTTGATGAGCGCAGGGATCAGTGAAGAATAATGTATAGTACAGTTTGGTGTGTGCACTGTGCGCGTATTTGCATGTGGGGGTGGTTATATATAATGCTTCGGTTGGCCGTTCAGATGGTGGCAGCTTTCACTGTCATGAGGAAGCAGATGCGTTGAACCAATTGAGGTGCGATGATGACGAAATTACGCATGTTCAACGCCCAACGCGTGTATGGGATAATGTTATTTTCGATTTACTTTTATTTCCAGGCTTCTACCATCCATTTGTCTATCTATTTCAAGGAGCAGTGTACATGTAGCCGAATAAAAATACCACTAAGAAAAGAAAAGCGGTTAAAGAAACTGCGTCCTCTATATCCAAAAACAAGGACAAGACTAGGGTTGAAATGACAAGGCAAATGATCAATTCACACCTTACATGCGGATTCATAAATTGGTAAATGGCATAGAGCATCTGAAAACTGCCTTGGTTCCAGAAGTCGAATGGCACAACGAAAGAAAATCAAAAATCGACGAGCACAAGTGCCACTCATTAAGAAGTCAAAATGTTGAAGTACAACATGCGGGAAGAAAGAATCAAGTTAAGATGGGCATTTGGGGCCATGAAGGAAAATTGTGTCTAAAAAGGCAAGTTTATCACCAAGAGGCAGTCTGGTAATATCTATCGGGGTATTGGAAGGTGTTTGCTTGTGCTGGTGTCGGCGTCGCTTTTGAGGAAGTCGCATGGTAAATGTGGTAGCCATGGAGCGTAACGGTAGTGGTAACGGTAAAGCCTATGGAGTTCTGGATTGCATCTGGAGAGTAGGTTTGAGTGCGGATTACCTTCCGCGCTCATGATCTAGATTGCCATTAAGTTGAATATCTTCAAAAAAGACAGTTTCTTGTGATAGTCGCGGTGGTCGTGTTGGGTGTCCTCGCATGATTTGATTCGGTTGACGTGGTCTAGAAGAGTAAGGAGACACGGTAGGAGTTTTCTTGTCCTTTAATGCTCCCTAAGTTTCCGGAAGAAATCTGTCACACCAGTAAAGACGACAAGTAGAATTCCTCCACCGGGACCTAGTCTGAGCACCTTGGGAATGAATCCCTTATACAGGGCGCCGAAACCCTCTTCCTTCATGATGGTGCCCAGAGCCGGCCACGCCCAGTTGTACTTTGGTACAGATCCTGCAATCCTCGGGCTATTTTGAATGCGAGACTTGACGACATCCATAGGAGTGTTCACTATAGTTCCGGCAGTTCCACCAATCGAACCAGCGACCAAGTCATTCCCCATCTGTTGGCTCTTGTTTCCTGGCTCAGGTTTCGGTAATTGGGCGCGGATCTGGAAAATACAACCAAAGTATCCGGCATTCCAGAGGATGTGACGCCAAAGTGTAGATTCAAGACCGTTGTATAACGCAAGGGGGCCTTCTTGCTTCACAATTTTGCTCACTACGTCCAGCATTCCGCTGTATTTACCAGCAGAGGCTTTATCCTGCAAGCGAATCTTGACAAGTTCAAATGGGACAACGACGAATGATTCCGTGGCACCAGCCGTGGCACCAGTGAGGACTGCAAGGGGTTGGTTGGTTTTCTCCACGCCGAAAAGGGATCGATAGAAGGATCCCCAGCTATCATTGGCAGCAAATTTAGTTGCCCGCTTTGGAGCCTCCATGAGAATGGGCGCTGTGATACCGCGATACAAACGGGAGAAACTGAAGAAAACCCAAAGTTATAATCTTACGAATATCGCACGAGCTACTGGAATAAGCCTACCCTTCATTCTTAATAATTTTACGGAAGCAGTCCAACATGCCTTTGTATGCCTCTTCTCCCGTTCCTGCTCCTTGTTGGAGTTGACTAGATGATCGTCGGGACATTAGAATTCAGAAGAACGACCTGTGAGAACTCAAATTGGAAATTGCTTACACTCTTGTCTTCACAACATCCAACGGATACCTAATGTTGCCGGATTGTTAACATCGGTCACTTGAAGCTAGGGGTGTCAAGGTCGCAATGAGGGTCGTACATTACAAGGATCTGCGATGCGATGAATGACACGACAGTTAGTCAACGGAGTGCAGACTCTTGGTGGATGGGGGAAACCGACTTCTGATACACCAGCGACTGCACCTGCAGCAAATTGGTATACAAACGGCAGAGGATTCTCCTGCGACATCTTGAGCTCGCGGTCCGATAGAAAAGGGTATACGTGTATAGTATATGACAACTCAGCGTATAAAAATTTTCGCGCAAACAGAAATTTGGCCAGAGGCTGAATAAATCCGCCTACTAAACAATTGAAATGGGCAAAGGGGTAATAATAGGAAAACAAAATATTTGCAAAGAAAGACCCAGAGAGAATGAATGTGAGGCAGCAGAGCAGGGAGGCAAGACGAGGTTGGAGAGGAAAACACGGACGGATGTTGGAGTGGACCGAGTTCGGCGGATTTCGGTGAGGTTTGACCCTTAGCCGCAGTTTCCTAGTTAGCCAGGACATACAAGCGCCAAGCGCAATATTGCAATGATTCAAACACGTCACGTGCTGACACGTCTCTCTTTGCCATTGACGCGTTCTGGCGTGTTTTGATTTCCACAGCAACCAAACTTCAACCATCGTTCACCACAACTAAGCGCCTTATTCACAGAGCAACAATTTCACGACACTCTGCTAATCTCCTACAACGGAAGGACTTTTCAATATTCGATAACGCCGCCACACAAGTACTGTGGATGGCATTTTCTACCTCCAACGACCCTTGGCTGCCCTTTAACGAAAACGCGTCCAACAACCCGTCCTTTTGAAACGTGAGCAAAGCCCCATTGTAATGCCAGGAGATGCTTTTGCGATATCGTCGAATTCGAGATCGAAACTAAATGCATTTCGATATGTTCCGACTGCACGACAGCAGCCTGAAAACATGCCAATTTCGCTCGAGCGCAGCCGTGATGACCCCATCGTGCTACCCGTGGACAAGGAAAACCAGAAGGTAAAAACCGAAGCAGGAGATAGAGGATTGCCAGTTCCCATTACGCAACCGAATGGGATGAAGCATCAAGATACTCAGCCAGAAAAAGCTCTTCCTCAAACTCCGGTACACAGAATCCCACTCGCCGACCTGATCAGCAATACGGAGGAAGCTTTCAGCAGGGCCCCTGGAAAGGTCATTACCCCCGAAGACCATGTATTTTGGAAGCACGAGCCATGCAGCATGGATTACAGGGATTCCTCAAGGTCACCAAGCACAAGAGGACAAAAGCGTCATCGAAGCGCATCACCAGCCAGCTCCCCTCTCGGACGGGATTTGAAGAGCAGCAAACCGAGTCCACTGCCTCCTCAAAAGCTTTTGAAAACGCCCCAACATGACATTGCTGCCGACCTTTGGAGTAAATATATCGGAAAGAGCACTGGGAAACCTGATGGCGATGATCCACAATCTCAATTCTCTCATCTCATCTCATCATCACCTCAAACCCCTGCGCCTGGCCGATTAGGCAAAGAATCACCCGCCCTCCGTAGATCAATCAGTTGCAATGTATACTGGCCAACTTCCAATACGAAAAGAAGGAGAGTTGACAATGAACAGCAGGCTGCAAACAGAGTTCGAAACATATTCGCTGGATCGCGAAGCTCTCTACTGGGCCCAGGAACTTCAAAGTCATCTAAAATCAACCTCTTGGTGGGGAAAATTCAGGAAACCCTTTTGAATTTGCCAAGGGAGGAAATCACAGGTCCGTCTAGCTCCACTCCTTTGCCAGAGAGGTCTGGTAATATGGCAGAACTCCCAAGACCACCATCAAAGCCAGCAAACATAAATGAAAACAACCCAATGAATACGCCGTCCAGGAGCTCAAGGAGAGTGATTCCCAAAGATGCTGTTGACAACAAAGATGTCGATACCAACCAAGACTTGTCTGTCATGTCCGAGTTTGATGATGATGATTTAGATGATGACTTTCTAGAGTTTGCTGGAACTGCGGATAACCAAAACACGACGGCTCATCCGGAGGCTGGAGTTCTCCTTAACACCAAACAGTCTCAAAAGCCCACGCAAGTCATGCCTACGATGGTTACCGCCCATGACAGTCCCGATACCAATTTTCGACAGAAACATCATACACAACTAATTCCACACATTTCACCTTCCAATAACAATCCCAATGAAGTTAATGAATTTTACGATAGCGACGACGAGTTTCCGGACGGAATGGAAGAAGTCCTAGCACAATACGATATGAAAGAGTTGCCAGATTCTGAGAAACAGCGAAACAGGTCTCTAGAGGGACGCTTGGCGCCAGACACAGAAGAAGCCGCAGCAGCGTGGAAGGGTGAAAACAATACCACTTCAGTGGATGGCGGAGTGTCTCTTTCTGGTGATGAATTTGATGAGGACATTGACTTGGAGTCCATTGAAAGTGCAATGAGAAAGACTGCCAGTACAGGTTTTGCAAGTCAAGTTGGTCATCCCATGTACTAAATAAGCATTTTCAAGTACTTTGCTAAGCGGTTCAAAGAACGGTAAATGTTCACAGCCTATTAAACGGTATCTTATTCTTGATTTGGCGGAGAATACATATTTGAATTGCAAAGGACAATCGAGGCCCCAAAAAGTATGCTCCAGATATGCCGTATGTTTTAATCTGTGACTCGTGCTGATAAAACGGTAGGTATTGTTTGTCGAGGAGGAGAAAACGAAAATCAATCGAGCTATCACTCTACGGGAGTCCTGGTTTGACACTCCTTGCACAAAAGGATCGTATATTCACCTCATCGGAAGCTTTGACCCTACCGGACAATGTGTAGTGAATAACTCCGATAATATTATAATTCTTCACCCGGATCATCTGCTCTCCGCCACAGTGGTTGCGGACTCGTTTACATGTCAGCGCCGTGCTGTTCTACAGGACCGCGTGAAAGCCACCAGTGAAGCCAACAAGCCTCAAGTATACGGTCATATTCTTCATGAAATATTCCAAGCCGCCATGACCGCGAATCGCTGGGATCTACAGTGGTTGCGTGAAGTCATATCGCGGACATTGGAACGCTATGTGGAGAGTTTGTATGAAATTCAAGTCGATTTCCCTGAAGCCACCGAGTACTTAATGAGCAAAATGCCCTCCTTAAGATCGTGGGCAGATATGTTCGTTCGTTCTCGCCCTACAGTATGAATTACTCCTACCCTTTGTTGAAACTCGGTTAGTTTTCAATATTCTGACAAGCATACAGACCGAATCGATCATGGAAGACAGGAACGGCACCAGCTCGCGTATGAGTATCAACAAGCTTCTGGAAGTTGAGGAACATATCTGGTCTCCAATGTATGGCTTGAAGGGCAACATAGATGCAACTGTACAGGTTGTTGTCCAGGAAGGAACAGAACAAAAGACTCTTACTGTTCCACTCGAGGTGAAAACGGGGCGAAACAACACCAACGAGGCTCACAGGGCACAAACAGCGTTATACACTCTACTACTTTCCGATCGATACGGTATGTTCTATTTATATAAATACCTAAATAATCATGATAGTTTGCTAACCAGTGATTTTTCAGATATCGATGTGACTTTTGGAATACTTTATTATCTTGAAGTAACCAAGACTTCCCGAGTTCGAGCTATCCGAACTGAAATTCGACAAATGATTCAGCAACGCAACCGGCTCTCTGAATTTGTATGTCAAACATCAAAACTGCCTCCGATGCTTAAAAAACCACGGATATGCAACCAGTGTTATGCCAAAAATGCGTGTTTCACCTACCACAAAATTATGGATAACGGAGATGGAGAGACCAGCGAGTTGGGAAACAGCTTCCTTGAAGTTGTTGGGCATCTTACTCCGTCCCACCAAGTCTTTTTTAAGAAATGGGATGCCCTTTTAACCATGGAAGAGAGAGATATAATGAAATTCCGGCGAGAATTATGGACCATGTTAAGCAGTGAACGTGAAGCCGTTGGTCGCTGCTTTGGCAACATTATGGTCGAGCCGGGGTCGGCTTATGAAGAAACCGATGCGCCAAAAATCAGCCGTTTCAGGTATACATTTTTCAAACACCAGCCGCCTGCGAACTTCTCTTTCGGGGACTCGCAACTCAGTGTCGGGGACCCTATTGTCGTTTCTGATGAAAAAGGACATTTCGCACTCGCAGACGGTTACGTCACGCATATTAGCCGCAAACGAATTTCAGTCACGCTTGACCGGAGGCTCCATAATGCCCGAACAAGATGTTCCAATTTCGATGCAGACCGACATCAAGCCTTTATAGGAATTATGGAGGTTGTTGAAACTGGTGGACGCGAATCGACAATATCTCCTGAAAAAGCTGAGGATAAAAACATGTATCGGCTAGACAAGGACGAATTCAGCAGTGGCATGGCCACTGTTCGTAATAATCTTGTTTGCATGATGGATAATACTATGCTCCAAGCTAAGCGGCTTAGAGATGTTATTATCGATGGCCGTGCACCTTCTTTCAAGCCCACTTCTTCGTCGACCGTATCAAGTCTTGCTAACGCGGAGCTCAATGTTGACCAAAAACAAGCCATCAACAAAGTGATGAGGGCAAATGATTATGCCCTAGTGTTAGGAATGCCAGGGACAGGAAAAACAACCACTATAGCCCACATTATCCGGGCTCTTGTTTCCCAAGGGAAAAGCGTTCTTCTAACCTCATATACCCATACAGCTGTTGATAATATTTTGTTGAAGATAAAGGACGATAATATCCGCACTCTGAGGCTTGGTGCTACGACAAAAATCCACCCGGATGTTCAAAAGTTTGCTGACTTGGCGGCCACCCCCAAGAAGACAATTGAGGAATTAAGAGACATATACGAAAATTCCCTTGTTGTGGCAACCACTTGCTTGGGAATTAACCATCCTATCTTTAACAATCGCATTTTCAACTACTGTATTGTCGACGAGGCGTCTCAAATTACTCTTCCAGTTTGCTTGGGCCCCATTCGTATGGCGAAAGCATTTATCCTCGTTGGGGACCATTACCAGTTGCCGCCACTCGTTCAGGATAAGGAAGCACAAGAAGGCGGATTAGATGTGAGCTTGTTCAAGCTTCTCTGTGACTTGCAGCCAGCATCTGTCGTCAACTTGGAACACCAATATCGAATGTGCGAAGATATAATGCTCCTTTCAAACACCCTCATCTACTCCGGACATCTCAAGTGTGGCACCCCAGCAGTTGCGTCAAGTTACCTCAAAATCCCCAACCTCAATGGCTTAAAACAACACCATGTAAATTCATCGTCTTTACCCTCAAATATCCGATCCCCGTGTCTAGGCTCCCGCTATGGACATTGTTGGATCCGCGATTTGCTCGATCCCGTCGCAAAAGCGCGACTTGTCAACACCGATTTCCTCGTACCTCAGGCCAAAGAGTTTTCAAAAGGATCCCGCATCATCAACTCTATCGAAGCCACTCTTTGCGCACAACTGGTCGACTCTTTCATTTCCGTTGGCATACCCGCCCGAGATATCGGTGTCATAACTCTTTACCGAAGTCAACTAGCCCTCCTGAAACAAAACCTCCGCCACTATCTGCCTGATCTGGAAATGCACACTGCAGATCGGTTCCAGGGACGCGATAAAGAAATTATCATTATGAGTTGCGTCCGCAGCAACTCCGAGCGGAATGTAGGGGAGCTGTTTCGTGACTGGAGACGTGTTAATGTTGCCTTCACTCGCGCGAAAACAAAGCTTCTTATTATTGGGAGCAAGGATACACTCCGTGATGGCAATGAGTTGCTGGGGAAATTCGTCGAGCTTATGGATGGGAAGGGATGGACGTATGATTTGCCTCCGGCGGCTGTGGAAAGCCATGTGTTTGAAAGTTTTGACAATGGGCCAACGCAGTTGAGTCCAATGAAAGGGACGGATAAAGCACCATTGCCGCCGTCGATAAACAACAAGTTGAAGAGGAGCCCGATAAAGAAAAGCCCGCGAAAGAGGATCTCCACTAATGAACAGAGTCCCTTGAAAGGTAAACAGCGAGTTGCGCTAAGTCCGATCAAACATGAGCAGACACCTATTGGCTTTAAGAGGCCACAAAAAATAGGTTGGAAAGCACTGGATGGCGCCAAGATTGTGGCGACAAGACCAGTTCTGAGAGATGTGCTGAATGATTTGAATTAGTGTGAATGAACTAGATATATGAGTTGGTTTTGCACATGCTCCGTTGGCCTTTATTCGCATTCTTTTTTGGTGTACCTCCATCTTTGTTTTGGATGATTCCCCCAGTTAGTACTACTCTACGCTGCGTTTGTGTATTCCCTCTCTGTAAATATTCAATCAATGGTCTATATATGTCTAGTGGGGTTACGGGATGATAAGATGATTTATCTCAAACGTATAATGCAAGTGTTCACACAGACTACGGGGGGAACCGGCCAATGATATAAGTTTCTGTTACTTTTTTCAATTCCATTTCATGGTTCATTGTCCATGACTATTTTGGTTAAAAATGAACCTCACAAAACCCATCACAGTCGAGCTTGCCATAGACAGGTTGTATTATATTTCTGGTTCTTTAAATCATTGGCCTACAATTTCATTACTATAATGCACATGATTCATCTTTCTTTCTCCCTCCTGTAACGATTAGGAAAAATCACGTTTCCAACATATTGGTCAACTATACGACGAGCCTCCTGCATACTCCCAGCATATGAACTGTCGATGCGAGCGTGGTTCGGCCGTTTCAGCTTCAGATGGTTGTTTTTCAATAGGCCATTCATTCAACGGTGAGAGAATTATATATCCGTCTTTGCTTTCTACTGCTTCCCGTCCTAGGGCAAATGATGTAAGCGCGAACCAGCCGCCAGGTTTTGAAGAGCAGGAAGCAAATTTGCGCCTGTATAGAGACATTAGTCGGAGGTTGTGGATTTCATATAAATAGGATTCTAATGCAATCTCCAGGAGGTTTTATCTGGAGTTTTTAGGCTGCTGAGAAAAGTTCGAGATTGCTGTACAGGATTTCCAAACCATGAAGTACACTCACAACGTAGCTGTAAATAATTGGATTATCCAGGCAGAAGGAAGCAGTCCTTTCCAGGAAAGCTTAACTAGATCAGCTGGGATGCACTCATCATGGCTAGGAAGCGCGTAGCGACTCAAATACGGATCAATAGTATCGTTATCATGCACGCGTGGAGAATCGAGAAACACTAATCCGAGCCATTCCTGAATCTCGTCGCATGTTTCATGAAGGAAATTTTTTCCAGTGTCTGTTTCAAGCTCTGATAGGTTTATCGGTGGAACCATAGTTACTCCAAGAATTTTGACGGTAGGATTGCATTGTATAATCTGCGGATAATGCTTTTTGATTGGGGCCTCTGAATGAATGTAGAGTGTGAGTATAAAATGGAAGAAGTTGAACACAACAGGTCGAAAGACGCGCATTTTACCTTCTTCTGAATAGGGTGGGGATCGAGTTAAGTCGCAAAATAGCCAAGTCACAGACGTCGTTAATACATTTTTAAAAGCCCATACGACACGCTCGAAGCCTTTTTTGCCATGAAGCATAGATGGCAACCTAAGGTTAATCTCCACAGCTACAAATACGTAAGTTAGGTGCTCTTTCTGGGGCTAATAATGAAAGATGAAAGGAAACCATTACCATATCTTTCCTTTACGTGCTTTCGTCCTCCGCTACGAATTGGTTTGCCGTCAAGGCCAGCACGTTCAAACGAGTTCTTGTCGAGCTCCAATCGAAGAACTCCTAGAATTTTTGTCAGTATTGATATTGCATTGCGAATATGTATTGATAAGAGAAGGGAGTCAACGAACCTTCTTTGAGTGTATATACATTATCGACACCACTCCTACCCTCCGAAATTAGGAGAATATCGCCTGCAGAATTTTCCGATATCAGCATGTGAAGTGCCCAAGATTTTTCAAAGGGAATTGATGATTAATCGCAACGAGTTGAAATGGACCCTTTGCTACCGATTTTAATATAAGTGTTAAAAAAGCCATGCTCCAGCAAAGCTGACAGTGGCATGATCACTTTTGCATATTGAGGTGTTTGAATCCTGTTTGATATGGAATCCCAAGCTGCGTCATAAGTTTCCTTGGGTAGAATAAGTTCTGTCTTTAGCTACAAGTTAGAACATAGCACCGAGATAAATTAATTTCCGGCAAACTAACAAAAGAGCGATAATTGATATGGCAACGGAAGCATTTTTACATACAGTGTGAATAAATGGGTGTTTAGAAATGGAAGAGAAAGGAGATCTTTTTAGAGGCGGCTGGTGTTGATCAACAAAAGAGGGTAGTGTCCCAATTGTAATGTAGCATTTCTCTTTCTTCAAATCCGGATCATCGATCTCATACATTCCGGCGACAGTTTGCTTTGACGTTTCCTTGGTGTTTCTTTGAGGGCTGTGAGCGGTATCAATTGGGCGCCGTAACTTTGAAAGATGAGGTCGAATTAAAGTTCGCCGACACGACTTGTTCCAAATAAGCTTAAATTTAAACTTCTACACCTTCCTTCCAATTTCATCCAACTCTCTCCTTCTATTCAAATAGCCTACGTTTCCAAGCTCTTCTCTCTTACAAGGCATCCACTCATATATATGGAAATGTTGGACCGTTTGAATAACTGAATTATACCCCCTGTGCATGGACAATCAATCAACACTGTTCAACCGGTTCTCGCTTGGGGTTTTCCACCGCTTCGTCTCCCACAGATTAAATCCAGATCACATAGTTCAAGAGAGTGATTAATCGAGAGGGACTTTATGAAAAGTAGTTTATATTACCAGAATTAGAGTTTTCAATCTTACCTTTTGGTATTGATATCAAAAATATGTTAATTTGATTCCGGATTCGGATTTTGATTGTTACGGGCCATGACGACACTATATTACGTATAACTATTGCTCCTGTTTCCATCACATGTTGTTTGGAACCCTCACGAAATCTAAGCAGAATCGTACATTCCAATAGTGAGCTCTACTATTTCGCCAAATTGGGTGTAAATATAATGCCCTCTAAGTTGATCCTGAAGAAGTGCAAGAGATTTTTTTTTTTTTTTTTTTTTTTTGTTGAGAGTAGGTATTTCTCGGAGGTTCCCAATCGTATTAAGAAATCGTGAACCTCGAGAATATTCATATTGGGATGTTCTTGAGATAATCGAAAACTAACTGAGCACTGGATTTTATTTACTTCAAATTTGCCCATATATGATCCTTTTGTGAAAGGGCAAGTTTTGCCGAGCCCGCGATGGCGGTTCGAAGTGAGTTAGGGCAAGAACTAGCGATGTTATCAATCGTCCGTAGATGCTGCAGAACTGCCCAACTCCGGTTCCACTGCAACAACTCCCGACGGCTCTTTTATTCGCAATGAGCATGTCCAAGCTCTTCCTGCGAAACTAGAACTGCGCCCCGCCGACAGTGTTGTTGAGGAGCTCTGGCTGTGGCCATCAGTCAATATGCCGCCAGCTCCAACCCGTAGGATGGTGCCGAAGGACCGTTTCGGCCATTTTTTCGGTAGCTTAAAAGTGCAGCCTTATTATGATCCAGCGGCGCGGGGTCCGGGTTCTCATACGTATGGAATTACTACTTCTTCAATGCTCTTTCTAACTTCCTCTTTTGCAATTGAACTTAGAAACTGAATCTAACTCTGTTAGTATCCGAACACTTGCGTGGAACCCAACAGGCAGCTTGATCGCAACTGGCTCTGTGGATCGCACCCTACGCATTTGGAACCCCGAGCGCACACATGTCAAATACTCGACGGAGCTTCGTGGGCATTCTGCCGGTATAGAGAAAGTGGCTTTCAACCCCGTTAAGGAATCGGAGTTGGCAAGTTGTTCGAGCGATAGCACAGTTCGTTTCTGGGATGTGCGAACCAAGACTTGTATTAGTCGCGTTGATGTTGGAGGAGAGGCCTTTACGATGACATGGGCCGCTGATGGAAGCGTGGTTCTAGTGGGTAGAAAAGTTCGTTCACCCAGTTCTTGCGTATACTCAGCCGTTTCAATTGTATGTTTGGTCTACATAATGCTTGATCATATCTAACTAACCGGATTCCATCTCTGCGCTTCGCCTACAGGATGACACTTTGATACCCATCTCAGTCGAATCACCATCTACTCCCACTCTCCAAATAGCCACTGGCACCTCCGCCCCAACAAGCACTTTCAAAGCTCTAACCTCGCACCAGCAATCTGTCCAAACCAACGCGGCAACCTTTTCACACTCCTTCAATACGTCTGATCTGGACCTCTTCCTCACAACCGGCGATGGCACCGTAAATGTCGTCTCCTACCCCTCTTTCGCACCTCTCTATACAATCCACGCGCATACATCTGCCTGCCTTTCAATCGCCCTTAGCCCTACGTCTCGATACCTAGCAGTTGGCGGCAGTGACGCTCTTATCTCGCTCTGGGATACTACAGACTGGTTTTGTAAACGAACCGTCTCAAGTGCCAACGGCGGTGCCGTGCGGGGTGTTAGCTGGAGCTGGGACGGTAGATTTATCGTCGGCGCATGCGACGAGCCCGGTTGTGGCGGTTCCGGTCTTGAAATTTTTCACGCTGAAACAGGAGAAAGCGTATATACTATTCCCACGGGTGGCGGGTTGGGTGCTAACTCCGGCGTGAATGGGATAACTGGAAGCACAAGCGGCTCTGGAGCCGCGGTAGGAGTTCCGGCGGTCGCATGGCATCCGTCTCGGTATTGGCTTGCTTATTCTGTCACCGCTGATGGCATGGGGAGCAATAGTGGCGGTGGTTTGAGGATTGTGGGGGCGGGGAGCAGTGCTCCATTGTGATATGGATAAATTGGGTCATTTTAGGCCGTCGTTGATGGAATTATGGTGTGGATAGAGTCCCTTATTCAGTAAGTCATGACATCAAACGGGAATGGAGTTAAATAGATGTGGCGCTAAATGGGAGTGACGTATCCATTTGCGTCCCACTCATCATGAAAGGCATCATACCTTGATTCTGTTTATCACAACTGGGCCCTCGTATATCATGTGTTTTCCATTTTATGCATTAAGATATCACCTCGAGTATTTATAACACGTATTTATTAATTTGACTTTTGGTATCACCTTGGTTGTTTTGGGAGATAGGTAGCCTGTTGACTATCCTTTGTTTTGTTCCCCTCAGGGCCTCATTAATCACGAATGTAACAAGTCGTAGACGATTAACTGCTGCCACGGGGAGGACTGGAGTGGTGACGCGACATAAAGAACTTGTCATCTCTACGGTATTCGAGACATTACTTAGCAATGATTGATGAGAAATGAATTACGTTAACCCTCGCTTCTGATGACATTCAAAGACAAGCTCACAAGCAAGTTTATACATCTGGAACTTCAGTATACCCGGAGGGTATTTAACTTTTTAACGGTCAGCCTCGAGTAATCTGTTTTTTTAAAAATGGTGTTCGATAATGACATCGTAGGAAGGATAAAGAGCGGTGACTCTTATCAGCACGAAAGCCGCTTCCGGTTTCACACAGATTCGATTTCTTCGGGAAAAACAAGGCATGTGTGAATGGAAAAGTGCGTCACTGCGCAGATAACACAGAGCAAACCACAGGAGCTAAAACAATTTTTCAGGAAAATATGCTTCATCACTTTCCGCAAACAAAACCATACCGTTCATCGGGGCTTCATTAGAGTCATCACTACCATCAAGCAATCCTAGCAACCCAAGACAGAGAGGAGTATAGATAAGACAAAATCAACAGAAAAAAATGTTCAAAGCTGTCTCCGCTAGCAATTGCTCCCAATTCACCCAAAGTACAATTTCCAATTCCGGGCTCCTACCCCATAATTGATATTTGACCTTGCTTCCAGAAATGGTGAGAAATGGAATATGTAGAGATATGGGGTGTAGTGGCGTGGATAAAGTAAATATGAAAGTTGAAATGCACATACCAAAGGTATACCATGTGGTTAATATTTTGCAGGCCAGGAGAACATGCCCGAAAAAAATATGGGTAAATAGTTCAACGATGCCCGGAGGGGCAGAAGGGGCAATGAGTGCAGTTGCATATATCAAAAACCGCGTTATCATAGGGAAGAAAACCGAACAGGAAGAAGGTATTGTCGAAAAAGTTGAATATACCCGAGTGAAGGATAATTCAGTGCTGCCGCTGGCGCATGCCCATTCCGTTTCAGGTCCAAAACGAGGGATGAACACGGGTAGGATTATACACCTCGCATGTTCCAGTGGGCGGGAATTTTCCACATTATCTCCGTCGTTAATGGAAAACACTTATATCAGCCTTCGAGAGGGTTTTCAATCCAGGTTAACCTGATAGTCTTCCCAGGAAAGAATGTCTGCTCCTACAGCCCATGTCATAGTAGAGAGGTCATGTATTTCTTCAACAAGCCCTTCTGAGGTAGTTATCGTGATTGGGTCTCGAGGTTGGTTAATTGGTATTTCCCACCCTGAGGTAAATGCGAACGGGTTTTCCAGCCCAGGAGTGTCCGGTGGATTGCCTGGGGTAAAGTAGTTTGCGTAAGCAGGCTGAGCGTTGCTACTCAGCAAGGGCTCAAATTGTGAAGCAGGGATTTCGGTGGGATACATATTGGGATTTGGTTTTTGAGATGGTTGCATTTGGTCGTAGCGGAGTTGTTGGGTAGGGGGTGAGGGTTGATCTATATTGCGTGGTGAGATCGAACTATTTGATGACGGGTTTGTCCCTGGTGTGGGATTATCGGAGGACAGGTATTGGCGATCACTTGTGACGCTTGCCTCCGTTGAGACGTCCATATCCACAGCCATCGATTTTATGAAGTTATCATTAGTTGGAACTATAAATGATCCAATTGTTTCTATAGTCTGGTTCTGGATATCATTGCCAACAGCTGACGCTAATCCAACAGGAGGCTTTTCACGATTGGATAGAGTGGGGCACACAGGGATCGTGGTAATATCGTATGAGGATGACCTAGGGAGGGTTCCTAGTGGTGGTGGTGCAGCTTGCTCAAAGACTCCCTTAAACGACGAACAATAGTCAGATCTCGGTATCGAAGTCTAATATTGCAGGTTTTTAGGTCATTTACCAGACGATCATCGTGAAAATTATTCCGAAATGTCCAAAAGGGTTTGCGGGTATGTACTTACTCTTTCGAAATGCATACCGTAAGAGAATTTGCGGTTCCCAGTTTTGCCGGCTAAACCATATTCTTCAAGGTCGGCATCGAGCTGCATGATGAATGATTCTGTGAAGGGATTTTTACGCTTCAAAGCGTTCATGACAACTAGTAAGAACTGAAGGGAAGAATGTGCTGATTCGTCATCTGTTCTGGACTTCATGTACTGCAGGAAAACTCGGCCTGCCACATATAGACAGAACGCGAGGAACGGATTCATCTAGAAAATGTAAGCATATGGACCAAGACTGCCAGCCACAGTTACTCACCGCTGCCATATCAAGATGGCTAGCCATTTTCATGATGCTGGTTATCTGATCTGCCGCAACTATACACCGCCGCTTCCCTTCTGCCGCAATTTGGCTAGGCAAGCCGTTTTTCTCCGCTTTGAATATGGCTGCTTGGTGAAGGCAGATGATTGAAGTGTGGATACACATATTAATGAAAACAATACTACTGTCATTGATACCTTCTGGTACTCGCAGATGGCTAGGCAATGAAAGAGAAGTGTTGAGAAGAATGTTGTCTAAAGCGCGGTGCCTTTTCCAAAACCCACCATTCAAATCGTGATCCTTATCGCCTGGTGTCGAGCGATGGAGATGATGGAGACTGCGGCCAAAAAGACATGCTAGCAAAACAATAGCCCCGAGGGGAGACAGCGTCGAAATGTTTTCGCCGGCTAGAACACTCGACAGTGTGTAGGTCTTCTCCACTTTACAATTGATGAATGCTTCTTCCGTAGAAGGAAGGTTGGTTAAAATCTATCATCTCTTGTCAGAAAGTTTCCCATACGATGCAAATAGTTGCAGATGATGCTTACATCTCTCTCGTCGACAATCATGGGCCATCCGGTGCCCACACTTGCATACCTGTCTTGGCAGAATGCTACCCAAAAAGTCCTTCTCCGTTCTTCCAGCTCAGTCCAGTCCCGAGCAGGTGGAATACACTGTTTTATTTCGGAGCCACTCCCGTCCTGACGGTGCAGACCCATCATAAGAGCCAACCTCGTTGCATGGCCCGTGCTCATCCATGCGCGCGGGAAGTACATCATTTTGAACTCGTAAGATGCAATTAAAGTCCAAGTTTGACAGTGAGCAACGTTGACCATGGCTTCACCAAGACCTCTCATTTGGTCTAACTCAGCATATTTCCGCGCACGCTGATAGAAATGTGGATGTAATGACTGATATTCATCCGTAACAGAGCTAGCCAGGCACCACATCATGTATCGTAAACATACGGGTGGCCGCATGGTTGGTGCAAGATCCATCGCTGCATAAAACCGTGGCCGGTGTATGATTGGTAGCGATGGGTGAATTTTCTGAAAATATATGTCGTTGCTGGACGTCATCCGTTAGGAAACATTCTCACACTGAGGGACGTACTAAAGCTTTGGGCCACACATACAGCTCATCGATGACATCTTGTGCTGGGAGAGGCTCATCTAAACCCAAACCGATCATCTCCCACGAGAAATGTTCCCCAGGAGGAACATCATTGTCCGATAGGTTAGCTTGAGTGGAAGGTAATTCCCCGAAGGCTTCAAGAGGAAGTGGAGGTGAATCTTCCATTTCGTTCGAGGTGCTGAAAATATCTCTTGTATTATTACCCAAGCCAGAAGACGTAGAATGATTGAGGTTGACTGCCGGCACCACTTGCGAGCCGTCCCCGGAATCTTGGGATTGGAGCAAGGTTTCGACTTGAGCTAAAAAGAAAATGCGCGATATCCATTAGCAATGTCTGGCAACAATTATCTACATTCAAATACAGGGCCAAGCACAAATCGCTAAATTTGGATGTAATGTACCTAATCTTGCTTCCAGCTGCTTCACATAACCTCTCTTTGGGCCACTCTTTTTCCTGACTTCATCATAGGCGCAATCATGACCCAAACGGGAACATGTACCACAACTTGGTTTATTCCCGTCACATCGCAACTTTCTTCTTCGACATATAACACATGCTATCCGTTTGGGTCGCGGGACCCAGCCGGAAATGTTTTGGTTTGAGGTATTGACTCGTTGTTCTCCACCGCCATGTTTTCCACTATTCCTTTGCTGCTGAGTCGGGCTGTTTGGTCGCGATGGTAGATTGGGTGATGGTTGTTCAGACCGGGTATTGAATTGCCCAGCAGATGACGGATTCACGTTTGTCATTTTGATATGCGGGGTTGACGGCACAAACACCAACTTACTGTGCGCGGAGAAAAAAGTAATTGCTGACAGGAAGTGCCTGAGGAGGCAAGAATGGCGAGAAGGACAACCAAATGATTACCTATTCCGCAGGCTCACATAGACGACGACATATGATTCTGTTTTCATCGTGGAACCAGCCGCTGTCAGATTCGTCAATAATAATGCTGCCTTGCCCACTCTAGGATCTTCACTAAGCGCATGTTTTAGCGGCAACTTGTATTGGCTGCATCCACGAGGAGAGATTTTGACGCTACTTGGCACTGCTTGACGCAACACACTTCCACGCCTTCAGGGCTGCTATTTATTTAGTCAGGACTCAGGGCTGGCGCCAGAAGGGAGTCATCGATTAGGTCCAGAATGAATACAAATTCAGGATGTTTGCGCCGGAATCACATTCAGAACTGACATGTCAACAAGCTCGGTCCTCATGTCATCTCGACGGCGTCTGCTCAACTAGTTACCCAGGTACACATGAATCTGTCTACGGAAGACCCATGGATGGATCTTTGGTTATATTAACCAATTGATAACCAAAGTTTGCTCATTAAATAGTCATCATCCCTTATGCCACCGCTATCCTGACAATTATCCATTTTGACTTGTAATCACCGTATGGACGTAAGGGATACGCCAACCTGTAAACACCAAACGTTAACTTCGAGAAACACTTAATCAATTCCACGGGGCATATTTAGTTCAGACAATTGATTTTCGACGGAGGCCGTCTACTCAAAATCGTCCGCGCTTTCTACGGAGTACCTTCAGATGTCGATTCTTCGATGGCCATGGTAAAATTAAGGAGTCCACTGGATGTAGGAGCAGTTGGGAATATCAATCAACAGAACGGTTGAGCCAAACGGTATAATCATCAGATCGGCAAGCGTGGTGTGCTCACCGCACACTCTGCTTGGTTTTCGGAATAGGTACACCAGCCACACAAAGCTACACGGAAGTTGTTGTCTTGATTCTACTTCTTCGTCGAGCAATCTGATGTAGCCTCTTGATGTGTGGCAGGACTGGTGCGCTCACGTTGAATTTGATGATGATGTGCAGGTCAAGTTAAATATCTAATGTGGATTTGTTTGCTCGAAAAGGCGCTTTTCCATTGAATCAGCAACCAATCGTGAGCAGAGTCAAATTGAACAAACTTATGACCGAACGGAGAGTGTTCAGTACTATCAATCCCTGTCTCATTGTTATTAACTGTTGTTGAAGATTTTGCAATTTTTGGCGGATAACTAACTAATTGTTATGGCGCCAGGGTTGAAACCTTCAACTCATCCAAGTTGCGGACTCAAAAGCTGACACCCACGTGATATAATATATCTGTCACTCGGATTCGAAGGACTCAGTATATATTCTATAACTAGTTCTGGCAAATCTATTGGCTCAGCACGCCCTCTGATCCTTCAATAGGCACCACACGAAAGCACGTAAAGGGGTCTGAACGGTGTGCTCACCTTTTCTGTCAAAATCTTTGGTATCAAAGGACTCATGAAATTCATCAATCATTTAGCAAGCGTGGAACTCACAAAGGAAAAAAAAAGCTTCTATCAAGAAAGAAGTGAAGAAAGCTGCTGATAAATGAAAATTTATATTTACTTCACTAACTAGCTATCTAAAATTTCTCAAAAACTTAAGCAGAAGCTGAAGTTATCCCTGATATATTTTCTTTGAACAGGAAGCTGATGAGCCACCGCGGAAGCGGACAGCAACCAACGTTGCAGTGACTGCAAACCAATTAGGCCACGTTAGAACTAGATGTCCTTTTTCGATCTGCAAGCTAGCTAATTAGCGATTTTAAAATGCAATAACTAAGAATGTTAGCAATCTAAATTTTCAATGGCATTAGGTTATTTTTAACTAGACTTAGAATTTATTAAACCGGTATTCTCTTTTCTAACCTTAATTAATATATAAGATTACATTTAAAAGAGTAAGAACTTATTTAATAAATAAAAATAAAGAATGACATTAATACAGCTTCATATCTTTATATTAGAGGATAATTGCTTTATTTTTTAAAAAATTACAAGCTTAATTCTATTCTTTATTTCCGTCAAAGTTTATTTACATTGACATGTCAAAGTAAATAGATTGAAAATTCACACCATGTACAGAGTTCCTATCTTACTCGGTTAAGTGTTCTGCTTGATTGAGAATTCTATTAATAATCGACTTGCTTGACTTCATTAAACTATGAGTTCTAAACATCAAGACAGAGGTGCAAAGTCCTATCTATATGTTGTACACAGGCTCTAAATGACAGGTAGTATAATTATATAAACATGAATAAGAAAATACTATAGCTGGGCAGCCTCTCACTGACTTAATCCCATGTTTTCAATGGCTAAAGGAATCAGAAAAAAGTTGACTTGTTGACTTGTGTTCGTGATTGCTGAACATTTAAAATGTTGTAGGTTCAAGCTGTTTTATTTGACTTGGTTCTTCAACTAGACTCGGTGAAAATACGCTAACTAGTGAACTTACCATGATCTAAATATTCCTGGCAGCCTTCAATCATGCGTTTAGAAGCCGTTGCAACAAACATCCAAGGATGGCTGAAGGTGAAGACACGACCGGCTCGCAAATATCAAGGACTCCAATGCATAAACCTGAGCGCTGCCGATTTCCTGTGCAGCGATTAGCGGTGAAGCAGCTGCTGGAGGCTATAAATAGGCATCCGAGTCATCGCCCTCTCAGGCAGAAAGCATCCTTGGATGTCGTCGTCCGGGTGGGAAGTGGAAAACTCTAGAAAACATAAAAAGAAAGGAAGAGTAAGACATGAATGGGGAATACTCAACTACATCCATCGGGAGGGAAACCAGAACAATAGCGCAAAGTGATTCAAGCCAGACACTACGTGGCTGTTTGGTATACAGGCTTACGGTGGTCTGCAAACCAATGCAGGACCTATTAGTTCATCACCAACAGCACTTCAACACGAAGTGCAATACCGGCGACGAGCTGCGAGCAAATCTATTTGCCACTCCGACGTGTCCTACTTGCAAGAGAAGCATTGTTGTGGCCGACCAGGTCCGCTGAGATTCGCTGCAACACCGGGGCGAATCCCCTGCTCAACCACTAGAGGAGCTGCGATGCAGTGAATTCACCGACATCCGGCATAGCAAAAAGCATTTCTTTACTTTCATTCTGCTCCATGTTCCTATCTCAATTTTCAATTTTCAATTTTCAATTTTTTTTTTTTTTTTCAGAAAAAATCTTTTTTTTTTTTTTCTTTCTCGTATTACGCTTGTTACACATCAAGCTTTTAGGAATGATTTTACCTTATCACAATTAACCTCTGGCATTAGCCAGCATCCCATACGCGTTCAAGCATGCAGTCACAAATTGTGATGGGGAAACCCACCCCACGTCTTGACCCGACGTCTGTTCCGTGGGTCTCAGCCTCTAAGAGGCACCACGCTTCTCTACAAGATGGGGACGTGGTGCCTTGCTTCGACAGACAGAGTGTGTTCTAAGAGGACGTTCCCATTTGACTCTTTGCACTCAACTCTAGAAGGAAACTCTCAAATAACCTACGGGTTGGCCAAAGGATGTTCGTGGATCTGCTGATCCTCTTTGGGTTTTTGTGTTCCATATAAGGAAAATTTGTTAATGGCTTGATAAAAAGGCAAATGATGTTAACTTCAATTCGATAACGTTCCTGGTGTACGACTGAATTACATTTCAAGGTTCCTAAGAATCGTCCGAAGGCTGCAGCCTGATGCCAGACACAAAAGTCTACATCAGCAGAATCACAGTTAAGTGAGCCAACTCTTTCCTTGTCGAAGAAGGGAGATGCCTTCATGTCCCGAGTTCCATTTTTATATCTGTCTAATTCAGCGACGTATTTGCAGTTTGATTCTGTGGTAGTATTTCTCGCCCTCTGTGCCCACCCCCATCGGCGGGTACATGGATCATTCATGTTCCAGTCCGTATATAGTAGGCGAAGAGACCAAATTAGGCGCAGTTGACAAGGGTTTAACATGGTCTCTCCCGAAGACGGAGGCGAAGTGAGTTCTTATTGCAAAAGGGGCGAAATTTCACTTAATCCTCTTTTTCGTTTACCTGACTGTTGCATAGCACAACCCAGGGTGATCTCCATATTTCAAATCATGCCCTACACAATGTTTGCAGCAACGCCTCTAGATCCTCTTCGGTCTCAAAAAGTCTTAATACAAATAGTTGCAAATTGATGCAACCACCTTTTCAAGGGTCGGTGGAAGCATTTCCCCCTCCTGGGTCTCACCACACTCCCAACGTCTCTCTAGACATCTCAATTAACGCATATCCTCCCCTTTCTTCTTCTAAGCCTGAAAACTCTCACCGTCCGAAATTATTGCCACATCGTTCCGCTTCCCGAGCACTTAGAAAACTGAGGGATCATCTACGCCCATCCTATACGGAAAATCCTCCAGAAAATTCTAATAACCTACTCCCTCTTACCCGGTACCTATCAAACACCACAAAGGAAAAACTTAAAAGAGGTGTAAGATCATCATGGTCAGCATCTATCAAACAAGTCGTCCTCCACCTTCCACGAAGGAAGAAGGAAGAATCGAACTATAAGGACAGCAGTCATATTCCGAATTCGGATACAAATATCAGCGGTAGGAAAAGTTCCCTAAAACCTTCACATCCAGGAAGGCAAACCCGCGATCAAAGTCCGTCGCTAAGATCGACAATAGTTACAAGGGAGACAAGGCGTTATACTTCCAATCCGCAAAGGTCGATTTTATCCAACCCGAGTTCTTTGTACGACAAGCCTCGTTTGCCTCTCAAAGTGTCGACAACCCCCCTTACGACATTAGAACGGTTTCAGTGCACTTTCTGCCTATTCCAATGTGGAGACAAGACGGGTTGGCTCACCCATGAGCAAGAATTTCACCTAGAGGATTTTGAAAACTTCAACCAACCCTACGAACACGGTATGGCAAGGTGGGACGACGTTGGCTCCTTGGGCTCCGGTTCAAGCAAAGGGAAAAGGAGCTACCAATTTCTCCGCAAACAGAAACCAGGATTATCTGATTCCCCTCCCCCCAGCCAGCAGAGAGAACGGAGTCATGAACCCACCGTCTATTCCATAAGTCGCAAGGAGCGGCAACAAGTAAGCATGTTCTGGAACTGCGGCTTCTGCGACCAGGTTCTTTGCTCCTGGGAAGATCGGCAGACTCATCTTGCTCGTCATTTTAGCGCCGGCCAAACCATGAGAATGTGGGATCCCATCAAATCGCCATTTCCATGGAGAAAGGGGTCAGCAGAACCTGTTGATGCCCCGCCGCACTGGGACTTGTCGTCACTACTGGCATTGCAGCGCCCCACCCTGCAAGATTGTATCAACCAGATCGGCACATCGCATCAGCAACAAACGACAGAACATACTTGCAAGTCTTGCCAGGTGGTTCATCCCAGTCTACAGCATTTCGACCTCTGGCATAAGCTAAGGGACATCTACACATGTCCCCGAATCACGTGCTTTACAAATCTATCAACATTCTTTGAGGAAGATGAGGATGAGAATGGGGAAATGACGATTGACTGGTGCAAGGCATGCGACGAGATGCTTGAGAGACCCGACCACGTCGACAGGTGGGAAACGCGCATGAACCACCTATGGGATGTCCATAGCTTTGGGGATTGTATAGGCTGGGATAACTGTCTGAGTAAGAGTCAGTTTATCCTCCATCTGGCGAATGCACATGCTGTTAATATCGAATGCATGAGAAGGCTGGTTCGCCGGTGCAGGAAGAAGGCCTATGCGCCGGCTTTTGATGGCGATGGAAGATGAGTAAAGGTGGGGTGGATCGTGAGAAGTTTATATGATAGCAATTGCTTGCCATCATGTCATCTGGGCCCCACTGTCCTCGTATTTTTGTATGGTGCGGCATTGTGGTATTTTGTTATTTCCGTGTATCCGCTCATTCCCTGACTTTCTCTATATATGATACCCACTTCACCTGATTCATTCCTTCATACTTCGTCTCTTTTGTTCCGTACACTGTCCCGCATCTCTTTTGTTCTTTGAATCATATTATGCTGTTGATTGATATCACCTATAAGATGACTTGGCTCTTTACAAATGCATTTTATTCATGTATACATGACTACCATGATTGATGATTTTAACCAACTGAGAGAAAATAATTCTGAAT